CTGCTGGTAGCTGTATCTTCAGAGTCACAAAATGAATGAAATTTTATTTGTTCTTTTCAACAAATACAAGAATGGTAATCTCCTTTCACTTTTATACAGTCAACAAAAATGGTTTGTATTGTGCTACAAAACACACCAAGTGTCTGGTTGTAGTGGCTTAAAAGGATTTAATAGAAAATGTGTAAGCTTTAGGTGATACTCAAGTAAGAGCAACTAAGATATATGTTTTAAAAATTAATAATTTAAAAGTTTAGATTGAGTAAAACATTAAACACTAATTTTAGTAAAATCTACTCTATAAGCAATTCAGTAAACAGAACATTTTGTCTTCAGTGTTAATCTGAGTTCTATTAAGTTTCTCCAGTACCAATCCAAGATGTAGGTGTGTGCAATGATGGATAGAGGAAAATCTCCTTAGAAATGTGGCTGTTAATACAGAGCTCAATCTGGAAATTAAATTTGTAATTTTTTCCTCTAACATGCTGGTGGCCTTCTCTCTGGTGTAGCTTTTGATAAATGTAGGGTGCAAATTGCACAAGTCACTAATAACAGGTTCTTTACTCAGGCAACTACATACATTTATTATGGGAGATGAGATTGGTGAATTGTATAGAAACATGAGGACTTTATTTAGTACTTAGAATATACAAGTAAAATAGAACTCAGAGAAAAATATAATAAAGCAAGATAAATATAAACAAACAACCCCCTACGCTGTGCATACTCACAGCCTTATGGAGACCCTTAGAAGTGAAAAGGGGAAGTACGTGGAGAGCAGTATGAGTGGGCTTGACAGTACAAAGACTTTTGCCATTCTGTCATCCCTAATGTCCCAACTAAAGGTTAATCAAACACCACATCTTATATCCCCTTTTCCTGACCACGCATGTCTGGGGATCATATTTATATTGTTTTCTGGCCTTTAGTCCATGTACGGCTGTCTGGGAAACCGTAACTGGGTTCCAATTGTTGACACCAAGCATGTGCATAAATACCTTTCCCAATATTTCTAGTGTATCAGTGTGGTTAAATTCACGATTACACATACTAAAATCCACCTAAATCTGTTGTTTTGTCTTTCTGAGCTGTACTTGTTTATCAACAGCTACATATTGCAAAAACTCCTACAAACCTTATGACACTAGGTAAAATACTTATGCTAATTTATGCTAACTGCCAGTCCTTGCTAAACCTCATGATAACCATTATAACATTACTGGGCCTTAATTAAGCTTATTGTAAAGCCTATTTTGTTTTATTGTGTTCTCCTTCTTTCATTATAGCGTTTCTTAAGCAGCTTAATTTAGTCTAACATATAGATTACCATTTATTCTCAGGTATGTACCTCCCAAGATCAGGTCAATGTCCAAAGGTCAACACTGGTAAAGGGCACCTTTTGATTTTCAGCATGGACTGACATTTTCAAACACGCATGTACAAAAGTTTACAGACACTTTTGCTTTAACTTAGATATGCAAAACTTCCAATGCACACACGCACACTGGGGTTACGCATGTAGGTGCATGCATGCCTCCACAACCCTGATTTGCAACTACAATTCAGAGGATTTCCACATTGAAGCTGCATATACACAAAAGTGCAAACGTGGCTTTGCGCACATCTGATTGAAAATCTGAGCCATAGTCTACAGTTCCAGAGAAGGCAGCTTGTATTTTTCACTTTACTAAAGATGTCTGACAGCTGAGCTATGTATAAACATTGTTATTTCTAATTTTAATTATTTGGATGTTGTTCACATACTTCGGTGACTGGGAAAATATAAGTACTTAGATATATGAGATAATGTAGACTAGGGATATAATACAGTATTAGGTTACAATTTTTAAAATACCATTTTAAATTGTTACAAATACATACATTCCAATACAGCTGATTTTCTTATTACTATTCATGTTGTCTCCTCATCGTATTTCTCTCTGCTCGGGAAATGAAAAAACATTCCAGTTTCATCTCTCCAGTTTGTTTCTAGTAAATTTCATTTTCAGGTTCTCATACATTAGCTAAGATGAGCTGCAGTGTTTAGATTCCACATTTTGCAAGAGAATGTCTGCTTTTTAAAAACAGTTTCCATAGGAATTTTTTTTAAATAATGAAAACATTTCTATTGCTTGTGTCTGAAATCAATTATTTGAATAGCACTGATATATGAGCAAAACTTTTATAAAGAATTTATTTTAAAATATTATTTTATGACTGTACTTTTTATAGGTCAGTAGGAGTCTACAGAAGCATTGCTTATGTGAAGAATTTAATTTTAATATCTGTACATATATGAAAGCTCATTATCCAGTTTTCAAAGCTCATTTTCAACAGCTTGCAAGGTTCACACCTTCAATAAAAAATGAATACAACTTTATTTTATTGTATGTACAGTCTGCTTGTTTTCAAATAGCCAACATGATCGACAGACAATGCGTGGATATTGTCTTATCTTCCTTCATATTAGTTTTCTTGGTTGCAAATAAGAGAAGCCAAATGCTTGGACTGAAATTACTTGAGGGTGTCAAAAATCAGTCTTGAAAACTGGAAGTGAGTCTCAGCAATAACTATGGAGAGACTAGCTTTTTACCATATATGAGAAAACCCTCATCAAGATAAAGCATGTATTTGTCCAGTACCTTGTTACATTTAAATGACTATAAGGCAGTCAGATTTTGAATCCTGAGTTTGATCCTTTACTCTCAGGCCAATCCTGGCCCTAAGGCATTGGGTGAGCCTTATTAGAGTGCAGTGCTCTGTACTGTTGCTAAACAGCAAGACATGAAAGCAAACAGTGCACAAATTGAATCTCATTTTCAGACCTGTGCTGACATTATTGATGCTTGTGCAGAAAAAGGGAAATAAATGAAATATCCTCCCACACCCAAATCAGATTTATGACCTTCATTGGAAAGGCAGGCAAACATTCTTTTTTGCCAAATGGAAGAAGGGAAAGGCATTTGGGGTGCCTCCAAAGTTAGGAGGAAGTATTACAGTGAAAAGAAAAATATTTCACCGCCAACCATGAGCTGCTATTTAAACTAAAAACTGAAGCAAGACTATGGAACTAACCCCATTCAGAACACCTAACCAATTTCATATCATGTTGAGACTCTTCCAAGTATTTAAGAAAGGCCACTAATTCCTGTTTTGTCTTGTTTTATATACGTCAGTGGAGCTTATCCAACTGATTTTGTGCTAGTAAAAATTCTGGCCTAATTGTAATTCAGTAACAAGATGTTTTCAGTTGTTGGCAACCTGAGCAAGATGGACTAGGTATTCTGTTTGCAGAACCTTAACTACCATGAGGCTGGAAAGGTATCTTATGGCTCTCACTCAGAGAAGACCAAGAGGCTCCATCAGTTGTGAGTGGGGCTTACTGTAGTTATGTTATAAATGACACATATGAGTAATGTTGCAGGCTTTTGCCATTTCTATAATCATTGTCAGGTCATCATTGTTCCGACAGCCCTGCAGAAACACTGACTCTGCTTCTGTTCTATTACTGTTCTGCCTATTTAAAACTTGATCTTCTAACAGTAAAAAAGGACACTGCCAAGGATGTTAGATGTAAAATTGTTTTATTCTGAGGGAGTGTGCACATGCACACTGTAGTCTTGTGCTGTGTCCTCCCTCCCCTAGCACTATTTAGCTGCTTTCTTCCAAGCAAGGATACAGAAATCAACGAGAACCTTGTGCTCTCATGGAGACTGAGTATGCGAGTTCTATGTATTATGTCATGTGATCACTTCGAATAATTTGGACTTCAACTCCTGTACTTTGTAGCCCTGTTTTTAGGATTGCCAGATTTTAAGGGACTGGGAAAGAAGTATGACAGGGTAATTATGCTCACTAAAGTCTAAGGCCGGACAACCTTTAGAGGATTCTTAGTAAGTTGTAGCACCCAATAGCCTGTCAATAATCAATTGACTTAAGGGACAAAGTAACTGCAGGAGTGGGAGTGAGTGTGTGTGTGTGCATAGAATGACTAACCTGTTCTTGTTCTGTACTCCATTCAAGTTCTGGTCCTGTCACAAGATCAAATAAAGGATTTCCTTAACATTAAAGGAGAGACTATTCCTCTTTTATAATTTATCTTGCATGGTATTTGCATTCTTATTACCATACTGAAAGTTAATTCATTTTAGTAACCAAATCTCAACACTCCATACATGGAAAATTTCATGATGCCAAACAGAACGGCCTTTTCATTATATATTACTGTAAGTCTACTATTGTGTCGTAATTTGCCCAAACATGGCAGTATCACTAGTGTAAAATGTAGTGGTTTGGATCAGTACGGTTGGATACACTGTTTTACTTCTGTTTTGTTCATAAGGGGAAGGCTGCTGTCTATGGTGAACCTTATAACGGAGGAAAAGCTCTGTTACCCTGGGCCCACACTAACACCTCTGCCCTTTAAAGGAGTATCAAGAACAAGTGACAAGGGGCAATGATCCTTGTTACTTCAAGAAAGTGATTGATATGGGCAATACTTTGTAAGCAGAAGGAACTATCTTCTCTTCACTCTGCCAGAGCGGTTCCCACAAGGACAGACTGCTGCAGCACATATGCTGTATCTGAAATAGCTAGCACGTCCATCACAGAAAGGGCATCTCTGCTCTGCAGAGTGAACACATCTTGAATCCTTCAATAGAGAAGGTCTTGTAAGGAAAGGAATTTCAGGCAAAGAGGAAGAGAAAACTACCCAATAACTTGGATCTCTTGAGTGGAAACACATGGCAGGGGTTTGGTACTTCAACTCTCTTTATGTGACAGGATGTAATGCTGTAGACTGGGGTGTGGTGAGTGGATTGGGGTGGAGCCAACACTCCTCTGTGCTGTAGGAAAAGAAAGAAGTGGGAATAGGGTGTGTATTATCCAAACAACGAACGATTAAATATGCTTCAAACCAGACTCCGATCTCTTTCATGGGCAGCGCAATAATGTTCTAATAGCTGCTGTAAACTGAAATATATTTATTGTTTAATTAAGCTTACCAGCCTGCGGATATCCCTCTCACATTCACGCTTTATTCTATTAACCTCATCTTGATGGGACTGATAAGCCATGCGCAGATCAGCAGCCTTCATTTTATCTGCCTGCATAATATTGTTCAAAGCTTCTTCAAGCTGCTTTTTACCAGACTTCAGCTCTAATATCTCCTGCTGCACCTTTATGCGTTCGCAATCAAATGCTTTCCGAGCTTCTTCCCTGGCTTCGTTTAGCAATGCGGTTTTCACTTTGTCGGCTGCCCCATCCCGCAGCACGTTCACCGTAGACTGCAAGCGTTGAATTTCACTCTCTTTTATTTTTACCATACGAGCTACTTCCTGCTCATGCTGCCGGATAAGCAGCTCCCTGACAGCCTGGAGTTCCTTCATTTTCTCCTCATGGAGTTTAGCCTTCAGGTCAGAGATGTAGGCAGTGTGCTTGTGCTGCTCCTGCTCTCTTTCTTGTTTGACTTCCTGGATTCTCTCTCTCAGTTTACCCACCTGGAACATAATAAATAAAACTTGGTTTAACATGACTGCTCATGATGCTGTCTCTCCAAAACATACCATCTCAGGTGCCCTTGCTATAAAATGGAAAGACTAGATCTGAGCACCTCAAACTCAGGGAAAGTTTGCATCTGGATCCAAACATTGTAGCTTGGGCCTCTCTCCAGCCAAAATCTAATATATTTTCAGCCTTGGGAAACTGGCATATTTTCCTTTAACCTGTAAAATGGACGAGAGATTTTCCAGGGTTTTTAGCAATCCACTAGGGGGGCACTCTACTGGCTGATCATTTCTTGCTGTTAGAAGGCATGGCAAGATATGACTCAGGAAAAGTGAATCCTGTTTTCTCCTGACTCCCTCCACTAAAATCTATTGCCAGAGTCTATTTTCTTGATGTGACCCAATCACCGCAAGCTGCCAGTTCTTGACTGCTCCCTTGGGGCTGGAACCAGATTAGAGAGATGGGTCAGATGGGGAGAGTGGTGCTGGAATTATGGAGAATTAGGAAGCTTCTTTGTTTGTGGGGGGGAAGTCAGGAAGCATTCCAGTGCTTGACGGAGTGGTGGATAACTTATTTGCTTTTTCTATGGTGTGTATATTGTTTCAGAATTTAAAAACCCTTAGACTAATTTATCCTCACAATACTCTTATTCTGTTGAGAAATATTATGCTCATTTTATAGATGGGAAGCTGAGGCGCAGAGAGATTAAATGACTTGCCTAAATTCACACAGGAAGCCTGACAGAGCAGGGAATTGAACCCAGAACTCCTGAGTTTTGGTCCATTGCTTTAACTACAAGACCCCCATTCCTCATCTTACGGCTAAGGGGGTGAGAAATAATCTCTCGATCAAGGGATGAAGAAAGGAGCAGCAACTAGAAAGGAGGAAAGGCTCCTGTTGGTAGGGTGAGATTTCGGAGGTAAAAGCTGAAGACTAGGACCTACATTTTCATTTACTAATTTTGAGACACCCACCTTAAAGAGGCCTGATTTTCAGAGGCCTGGTACTCACAGCTTTTTGAAAATAAGGCCCCTTCAAGGTGTTTCAGATTGGGCACTTAAAAACTGAGGCATCGAAAAGCACTAGACACTTTTTAAAATGTAGGCCAAGGTTTGTAAGGGTTAAAAGCAGTATTATAATCTATTATATCAATGCACACTGTGATGAAACCTCATTATAATGACACTCAGCAGGTTGCATGAACAGTGATGCTTTTTCTATGTGGAATTTATACACTAATTCAGAAAAAAAGTCCAGAGGTAAGTTTGCTTCCCCTACAGAAGTTTATTTGGCCCAGTATAAAATATTCCAACATGATCACTGTCAGTAACACACTCCTGCCATCTCCATCACAATGAATGCCACAACATAGGCATGGCATATGATTCTGTAATCTAACGCAAAGTCACAGAGCAGCAGAGAATGCAAAGACCTGTGCTCCTGAATGACACTATAAACATGCATACGACATGGTGCTTCTGCTAGAATGAGGTTATTGCACAGCAGGGGAACGAAAAACTAACGCTGAAAGTGAGTAAAACACTATTAATGGAATAAACACTGATCATGACTGCTGTACCCAAAGGTAGGCATGCAATAAAGTTCTAAACCAGGTACGTTAGAGAAGGATTTTACTGCACCAACACTATCATCTTACACCAAGAACCTGCCTAATAGATGCAAAGAGAAAAGAATATTGCCCTAGAATAATATATCTCATTATTGGGAATAGATCACATATCTTGGTCTACCCCAATTACGTTTTATCCATATGTAATTGTATCTTCAAAAGCCGATAGGGATGATATTTAATTCCAAGACTGTAATCAACAAGTCCAGTTTTCAAACTTCCATGCTTATGTGAGGCCACCTAGTTGTGCATGTGGGCTTAAAATAAACCTCAGACCTCAGATTAGGTATTCATCCACCTATCCACGAATCTAAATGGCCAAAGGTAGAAATAAAGACTGATTTAGGCATCCAAATTTGACAACTGGGACTAATCCCACACTGATTTAAATATATCACAGCTATTATTTTAGGGATGGAAAAAGAAAGTTCATGGAATCTTGTTAAAACAAAAGAAAGAAAACCTACACTGTCCCATGGATAAATCAGTTGCAAGAATTTCTCAAGACATACAGTAATTAAAAATCAGTCTTATTCATATATTGTAGGTGAAGGATAGTTTTTAACCTAAAGTAGTCCTGCGTGTGGTGGCTTCCAAGAGAATTTATTAACAACTGAGAAATTTGTCTTGAAATACATGTTTCCAAACAGAATTTACCCTTAAATGACTAAGCAGAGAGGAAGCCAGGCTGGCTTAGCTTATTTTAGCCAGCAGAAGAAGCAAGGAGGGCCAAAGTTACTTAGGAGCCTACATCCCATTTTCAAAAATACCTTTTGGATTTAGTGGCCTAAGTCTCATGGGGAAATTGTTTTTTTTTAATTCAAGAGACAGTACCATGTATGCATGGACCCATGTACTATAACCTGAAGCTGACAAATTTGTCAAGACATCAGCAGCTAATAAAAAAAAGGTATTTTTCACCCTGCACATCACTGATTTGAACATCTACTCTACTGGCCTTTGTAAATTAAATCTTTAGCCTATGCATGTAGATACAATAATGATGCCAAAGCAATAACTAGATTTTCGGCAAAAGAATGCTAAAGGTCATTCTTCCTTGCCTGTCTTATACATTTTTATGTTAATCTGTATATGTTTAGGTTTGGACAATGTCTGAAAGAAACATTTTCTTTAACCCACAGACTACACACTTGAAGAATATGTGATTCCAGTTTTGTTTCCCTTTACAAGCCATTTGCACATGTGAAAGACAAAATAAATCAATATAACCGTTGGGGTCTGTTAATTTAAAAAAGTTTTCATAGTTATCATAGCAGCCTACTTGATCAGGCACATAAGTTATATATATTGTTTTCTCCTCTATAAAAATAATTAAAATCCTCACTGTGACTTGAACTATGTCTATATTTTTCTCTCGTTTTAACTTACATTTAAAGAACACTTCATTCTTGCCATAATTACCCTATACAATATATTGTCAGACTTTTAACTGAGCTACTGTCCATTAGGATGGCCAGGAACCAAGGGCATTATTGTCCTTTTAAGGTCATTTTTAAATCAAGTGCAATAGCTTTCCCCAACAACTAAAATCTCCAGTCTGTATGCTTCATTACACAAAATGTGTACACCAGCTTCACTTATTTTCTGCCAGCACACGAGCGGCCTGACCCAATGCTCACTGAAGCAAACAGCAGTCTTTCCATTGACTACAGCAGGCACTGGCTCAGGCTCTAAATGTGAATCACGCAAACAATAGCAGAGCTCTCAGAGTGACAGCAACAGCCGTCCTGGATAAACTATCACTTTAGGACAACTTTTTGGACTACCAACTTAGAATTCAATTAATATTTGTGTCATGTTCAAGGCCTACAGACAGAGAAGTTAAATAAAAACTTAAAATTTTCAGAAAGGTTGCAACATAACATTACTTTAGTTCTTAAAATCCAGAACTTTAACACGTAAGAACCAGAGAGAGAGAGAACAGATTACTCACTAAGGCAGAGAGGCAAAACTCACCCCATCTTGCTCGAAATTGGATCTTTGAAGACTGACTGCTGAAATACCTAGATCACACACTTCCCTCAGAGCCCCCTAGCCTGGAAGCAGGACCAAGAAAACCTCTGAGAATTCAAGGTGATAGTGTGTAATTTTAACACCGCTTTTCATACACCACAGTTTAATACACCATAAACGAACACGGACTTTTGAAGGAATACTTTCCACTAAAACCAGGACTTGAATAGAGTGATAAACATACCGGCTTTATACTGACCACAGTTGACACGATCATCATTAAAGTCGACAACAGTTTAGAGGCTGTGGTTCACGTTTCCAAACCCGATTAACGAACATTAGGTTATACGACAGACTACACAGGAGAACTAAAATCACACACTATGAAGAAAAGCTTGTACCTTTTCATAATTACTTAAGAAGCAATGCTAGCCAAATTATACTAAAGAAACCGATACTTTTAAATATTCACCAGCTTCAAAAAAATAATGAATAAAACTATTTATCATGTAATATTGTAATTTCACCCGTTTTAATGTGACTAGTCGTATTTTCAGATACAGATGGACTGCAATTTGATAACTTGTGCTGGGATCTCAGAAACATGTCTGTCTTCCCTGCAGATGAGGGACAAAGCTTATCTCTATGCTCCAGGTTATTTTTGTATTGATCCAGCTACAGGCAGATTGATCAATAAGCTTCCAACATTTTTTTCATATGGAAAAGTTTATAGCATGAGTAGATTTGAAAGGATTAGATTTTTATTGATAAAGGTTAGTAAATGTCGATTTCACTCTACACACACGAAAATATTTCCATCAATAACAACCAAACTTTACAGATAAGCAAATTAAGAAAAATGCTGCTTCAGAACTAATAGAGTTTGATTTAAGGATCTTTATTTTGTATATTTTGATATGTGATGTTGACAATTTGTGTTTTAATGGTTGTAAAGTCTCAATTTTTTGAATCTCAACATCTGCTGTCATTAAATATGTATTGTCCAGCCCCCCCATAATTTTCTGAAACTGAAATTTTAAATTGGTAAAAATAAAAAAATGCTTAAAACCCATACTTTTGTGGAATTGTGAAAACTTAAGTTGATAAAAATAGAAAAATGCTTAAAAATTATCAATATTATCGTGGTCTACACTATACAGTTAGGTCAACTTAAGGCAGCTTATGTTGACCTAATTATGTCAATGTATACACTACAGCCTTGTAAGTGCCATACTACACTGACATGAATCTAAGTGCCACACTACACTGACACACTAACTCCACCTCCATGAGAAGCGTAGCGCTTATGTCGGTGTAGTTAGGGCAATGCAGCGTCTGTCTAGACACTGTGCTACTTACATTGGCTGTTGACTGTCTTGTCAATTTCAC